GAGGGAGCGGAGCCCAGACGGAGGGAGACGCAGGGCAGAGCGCAACACCCAAAGACAGAGAACCAGACAGGCTCGGGAAAGGGAGACGGAGGCGATCCGCGAAGTGATAGAAGCGGCGCTGGCAAGGTGACAGGGAAGGGAGAAGGAAGGAGGCGGCCGTGGCGGCGCGGGGAACGGAGCGGGAGCCCGCGGGGCGGGCCCGGCCGAGTTAGCGAGGTGGAAATGAATCAGGGCGGCCCAGTGGGGCGCACGGGGGCTTCGCAGAGGGGACTCCCGGGTGACACCTTTCAGCAGAATTTCCTTGCCGTTCACCGTTCCCCAAGTACCGGGTGAGGTCCTGGATGCGAGATGCGCGGGACACCACGCCCGCCTGCAGCAGCTGGGTCCGGAGGAGACAGAGGGCGCCGGGGGCGGCAGAAAGGCGAGGCCACTCCACTTAGGGGTCCCAGCCGCTGTGGGAGGGCCCGCTGACAGCGAAGGATGCGAAGACTCAGGTACTGGGAGACGACGGGAAGGGCATTTACGGCAGAGGAACTGCATTCACAAGGCCCTGGGGGACGTGGGAATGCAAATCTGCTTGGGGTCATGCAACTGGTCCACTGGACTGGAGGACAGTGCGGTGGTTCCCAGCCTTTTCGTCATCAACTACTTTTATCACCTGAGTTCATGGGTTTTTAAAAATCTATTTGTATTGAATTTATTGGGGTAACGTTGGTTAATAAAGTTATACAGGTTTCAAGGGTACGATTCTATGATACATCATCTGTATATTGTACTGTGTGTTCACCACCCAAAGTCAAGTTTCCTTCCATCACCATTTATCCCCCCTTTGCCTTCTTATACCCACTCCCACCCCCACGCCCCTGGTAATCGCCATACTGATGTCTGTGTCTATGAGTTTTATTAATTTCTTTCACCTTTTTCACCCAGCCCCCCTGAATTCATGTTCTGAGAGGTTTTTATTTACAATCTCCCACACCTTGGCATTTATTAAGGAAGAAAATAATTATTTCCCCATTTTCGTTCAGCACAGATATTTAACTACTGTTCAGTAAACAGTATTACCATGTTGAGTTGATACACATCTTGAAAAAAAAAAGAAAACAAAAACACATTTCAGCTCAGTGCAGCCTCAAAAAGCTATACGATGGGTAAATGTTCATTTTAAATAGCGCCTAAGGCGGGGAGGGGGTACTGGGCTACAGGTCAGGCACCATAGGCAAAGTGTGTTGGGGGAAGAACTGGAGTAAATATAGAGCGGTGCCAGTTCATGGTCAGCTCGGAGCTCCTGAAGGCAATGGAGGGCACTTGCAGGTTCCTGGGGGTGGGGGTGGCAGCAAAGCCATGGCAGGATCATGGAAAATCAGTCAGGAGGTGAGCTAGATGGAATCGAGGGGAAACAAGGCGGCAATCCTAGATTCTTCACTTCACTTTCCTTATCAAATCAATGCATCTACTTTCTGAATCATCTAAGTCCTGCTCCCTTCTCTCTAGCTCATCAGCATGGCTGTGGTCTAGGACACCATCACCTCTCACCAAGATTACTACCAGGATCTGGAAGATCACTAGCAGCCCAGGACCCTGATCCCCTTCACCCTTCTCTCCAGTCTCAAAGGAAGAGGCAACCTGTATTCACCATGTCAGTCCCTGTGCCTGTGTATCAAAACCCCAAATGCCCCTTGCTTACTGGGCACAGTCCAAACTCCTTAGCTCAACACTTAGGGTACTCTTCTGGGAGGGGAGGGAAGAAAGGACCAAAGGGCAGGAGCAGGAAGAGATCGCTTGTGGTGAAGGAGAATTCTCTGGAGAAGTTCACTTCAAATGGTCTTTACTTTTCCTGTAGAGCAGAAATGCCATGTACTAAAACTCAGGGTGGGGATGGGACTGAGCAATTAGAAAGAGTTTAGATGCTCTAGAACAGCAAGGGTGTGAGACTGTGAAAAAGTACACAGAGAGCTTGAATGGCACAGTAGTTTTCTAATTTAAAAAGAGTGATTTAATTTGGGTTTTTGTTCTTAAATTATCTTTTATAACATATATGCATAAACTATCATGTATATTCCTTAGTGCATATCAAATGTCAGTTCTTAATGTTTGCTCTTTCTACAAGAGAGAAGTCCTAGAATAGTCACTAGGATCTCTATAGAGAATGAATGATAAAGGGTTTAGGAAATTAGTATTTGTGAGTGTTTACTATGCAAGATAGATATATTACTTGAGATGGGAAAACTGAAGTTCAGAGAGGGTAAGTGGCTTGTCTATGGTAACACAGCTAGAAGGTGTCAGATTTGGAACTTGAATCCATGTGTGTTTGACTCAGTAATATTAGAGTGAATCTGCATGGTTTAAACATAATCTTCATTGCAAACATGAGTACATGTTGGCATGAAAAATTTGCCAGGGCTGTGATGTCCAGTGTCCACCATACAAATTGGCAGTTAAGGGAACCATCTTTCTTTGAGAACCTCTCTTCTCTTCTCTCAGTTTAGCAAATTGTGTCTTTCCTGTTCTGATCGCTCCTATCAGGCTCACTCCTTCCAACTTTAGCATCATCTCCTCTTTCACCTTATGTGTAAGGGAGCAGGGTTTTCTCAGATCCCAGGGCTGAGGGATTTGTCTGGAAGGAGACTCCCCAAGCGGGCATCAGGATGAGGGCTTCTGCTGGGAAAAGCAGGTGTGGACGGAAGGGATGATGGAAGCTTTGGATCAGGAGGTATGACGAGGCTCAGAAGAGGCAACACTTCGCAGTCGGAGGAGTTGGCTGGAAAGAGTAGAGACACGGATAACGCTCCCTGCAGAATTCCAAGTGACATTTTAGTGTTCAGGCCCCACAAGGCTGAGCAATTCCCATGAGTAGGGGGCACCTCGTAGCTGGATGATTCAGACCACAGAGGAAAACTCCAAGAGTGGCTGAGCTACATCCCCACAGTCACTAAAAATCATGATTTTGGTATACCACCTCCTTTCAGTAAATGTGATCTATACAAACTCCCATTTATAAGATATAAATTAGGGCACACTTAATCACATTACTAAAGGATTCTTTCCAGGATTTCTTGAACTAGGTGGTTCCTCTAGTACCTTTTCAATTGAGTCCAATAGATAAAATTTCATTAACACCCAATGCACCAAGGTAGGAGGAAGGCAACAGGAAATAAATGAAGGACAAGGACCTGGAATGCCTGAGTCTGAGTCCTGTCTGTTCTCTTAGAGCCCATCCCTTACCTATAAAGTGCTTGCAATCCATCCTTTACCTGTAAAGTGAGGACTAATTCTGCACCACCTCCAATGCCATGTGCCCCAACCCGGCTTCAAACCCTCAACCCAGGCATGTGCCCTGACCGGGATTTGAACCGGCAACCTTTCTGTGCACAGGACGACACTCAACGAACTGAACCACTACGGCTGGGGGCCAATGCCATGACTCTTAAATTTTGATCTACCTCCACTCAATCCTACATAGTAAGACAGGTTTGTGTATGAAAAGTCTTCTCATCTTCTAGCTCTGCGGAAAACAGCCCAAAGGCCAGCAAGCGCTCAGCCTCAGGAGCCCAGCAGGGCTCCATCTGTCCTGGAGTTGTCCTGTGCTTCTTCCATTTCACTCTACTCTCCAGCCACATTCAGTGCTTCAATCATATCCTCCGCCTGCTCAGAGTTTTCTAGGGTCCCATCTCTTTTGAATCTATAGAAATTGTTCTAATCTACCCTACCGGCCTCCCTGTGCCATTAAACTCATGTCCTCAGCCATCTCCTGTTTTCCCCTTCATGCTTCTTCCCCCACCTCCGAGCTTTTACCCAAGAAGTCTCATGATCTTGCTCAAGGAAACCTTCCCAGATTTGTTGATCCCAGGGCTGCCACGTACAGTTGAACAGTTTGTGGGCTGCACAAAGGCATTCACTGAGGGGGCAAGTTGAGAAACTGAACTGCATTCTGCTTGCCAGTTCTTGTATTGTGGTTCAGAGACGTGTCTACGGGAGGGATTCCCCTTATTATTACCCAAAAGTACCACCTGCTCTCCAAGCTGCATGTCATACACAAGGAACACACCTGCCAAGAGGGGTTTGTACCAAGGTTCTTCATAGACCAGCAATGTGGCCCCAGCTGTGCCCCTCCTGTCCTCAGTATTCTCCAGTTCCAAACCCCATTTCCCATCATCACAACTGTATTGACATATTTTACTGATTCCTTGTAAAGTTGCTTTCTTTTCTCTCATACTAAGCTGAGATCTCGCCCATTTTTCTGTATCCTGGTACCTAAGAAAACTTTTTTCCCTCTCACTCTGTTCAAGCTCAGATAAACAGTAATTGAGGTTAGATACCAGGTAATGTCCAGGACCTACAGGATCAGTAAACCAGAGGAGGGAGTAGTAGCCTCCTTCCTTGGCAGCGAGGCTAGACTCAGG